GATGTTTTGATGCCACAGAGTCGCTTTTAATCCTCTCTGAATCCACTACACAGGGACAGACAGAGGAAGGGGACATCAGCTCACAGCGGAGGACGGTAAACAAGGCGACCAGAGCGGCACAGAACTGCAGGAGAGGCTCAGTGCAGAACCAGTAAGGATTTTTTTGATAAAATATTATTAACTGGGGGTTACAATACAGGCTGTTTTTGATGCCACAGAGTCGCTTTTAATCCTCTCTGAATCCACTACACAGGGACAGACAGAGGAAGGGGACATCAGCTCACAGCGGAGGACGGTAAACAAGGCGACCAGAGCGGCACAGAACTGCAGGAGAGGCTCAGTGCAGAACCAGTAAGGATTTTTTTGATAAAATATTATTAACTGGGGGTTACAATACAGGCTGTTGTGATGCAGCACAGCAGAGGGGTTTGCCACCTTGAAGGAGGTTGTGATGCAGCGCAGCAGAGGGGTTTGCCACCTTGAAGGAGGCTGCTGCTTGTGGCAGGCAAAATTCAAACCATTCCCTTAGGCTTCCCCTGACAAGCCCGGAAAGCTGAGTTTTGCTTTGTTTTGTTTTGCTTTAGTTTTGCTTTAGTTTTGCTTTGCTTTGCTTTGCTTCCTGAGAGAGATTTCCAGCACCAGCCGCCTGGGCTCTGGGAGCAGCAGGGGCTCTGGGAGCAACAGGGGCTCCGGGCGCTCTTGCTTTGGGGATCAGACCCATCACCTGAGCTCTCCTCTTGCTGGCTCTGCTCATCCCTCAGCTGCAAGGGCTCCCCAGGACCCCGTTACCCAAACCAACCCTCTCCCAGGGTCTCCTCCTGCCATGCTTTGAGCACAGGGACCCGGGAAGGGCTCCCTGAGCATTTGCAGGTCTGTGTGTGTTGGTGGTCGGGAGCCTGGAGCAGCAGGAGGGAGCTTTGTCTCAGCTGATCAGCAAAAGCAGCTGAGACACTGCCCAGCCGTTCTCCCCCCAGGCTCCCCACCAGCCTGTGCCCTCTCAGGGTGCTTGTCCCCCAGGCTCGATTCAACAGGGATGGGATGAAGCTTTAGTGCAAGGCTGGGCTGGTGCTTGGACTTGGAAACTCTCCCAGCCTCGACATAACTGAGGCCAGGAGGCAAGGAGGGGGGTGACAGGCCTGCAGGAGAAGTCCTGCCCCAACAGCTCATGTCTGGTGGCTGCCCTTGGCTCAGCAGGACTTTCCAGGTGGAAATGCCTTTCTCAACACCAAATCAAAGCTTTTCCCAGCAAGGGTGGCACCAGCTGATGCCAGGAACTGCCTGTGTCTGAGCTGGCAGAGGTGAGGCGCCTGGAGAACCGAGCACCCTGCTCAGTTTCTTCTCTCCCCAAATCTTCCATCACTTATTAAAGCCCAGAGCTGTGCCGCTCCTGCCCGGGGGCTGGGATGGACCCCACAGTGCATCTGCCCCAGCACTGCTGCGGCAGTGGAGGCAGCTGGAGGCAGAATCCCTGTAGCCTTGTGTGCGTTTGCTCCTTGCCCCTGATTCAATAAACATCCCGGAGTTATCAGGAGCTGCTGAAAGAGCTGAGTCAACATTAATTAGTAACCAAAAAGATTGGTTGGAAAGGGAATGATGGGAGCAAAATACACAGGGTTTTGTTTGCCTACAGCAGTGAAAGTGCAGAGGGTTCCTGCTCTCCCTCCCGGCCGCTCACCTCTGGCCCCTGGTCCCCGTGCGCGGAGGTGACACCTGCCCCATCCCAAGCCACCCTGCCTTGGGGCTCCCCAGGTCTGCTCCCAGCCTTGTTGACATTGAGAAAGCTGAAATCCCAAGAGCAAGTCCTCCAAAATGGTGATATTTGGGGCAAGCATAAGCCCGGGGCTTTTCCCTTTGCCCTCTGAGCACTGCTCCCTCGTCCCCTCTCATTTGGGTTTTTGTCTTGCTGAGACCATACTGGGAAATGGCCTCCCCTTGAGAGGGAGGCTGGGAGCTTTAATACCATGAGGTTTGCTATGAAATAAGTGTGGCAAGACCTCAAAACTGGTTCCTGGCCCTGGCCTGCTGTCCCCCACTGCTCTCTGAACCGGTGCCCAACCCACACCCTGGCCGAGAAGGCTCTGGCAGCAAAGGCATGACCAGCAGCTCTTGGAGCTGCCTGCACACGTGGGGAGCCCTGTCCCCCCATAAACGCACCCAGTTCAGCATGGGCTGTGGGGGATGTTGGGTGGGAGAGCTTCTCTCCCCCTTTCCCCTCTGCTCTGACCTTGGCCTGTTTGTTTTCTCCCACCGGGGCAGGCTGAGCAAACAGTGGATGCCAGGGCAGTGGCCACAGCCTCGCTCCAACCCGCACAGTCGCAGGAGGGCTGCGCTCCCGGCCGCCCAGGATGAAGCTGCTCTTCCCAGCCCTTGTGCTGGCCCTGGTTGCCACTGCCCGTGCTGCTGAAGGTGAGACAGAGCCAGTCAGCTCCGTGCTGGGTGCCTCCTGCTTGCAGCCAGGGTGGGA